GACTGTATAAGAGGCTTGAGATAGGGTGAAGACTGGCTATAGTGGCTGATTCAGGTCAATAATGATGAGGTCTGAACTCCTGGAAGCAATGAAAGCAGAAAGAGTCATGAGTTGTGAGCCACTTCAGAGAAGGTGTTGGTGGACATAGGATCATCTTAGAAATAGGGAATAAAACATTGGAAGATGACACCAAGATTTCAAACTTGTTTAACTTGGGAGGTGTGGGAGGAAGCAGGTCATGCATCAGAATATCCAATTGCACTTGACCCTACACCTCCACTGGCCAAGGTGTGATGGTTACATCTTTCTTATATCACTCACCCTGGAGACCTCTGAATCCTGCACTGAGAAAGACCCCCATTTCCTCCTGCCCTGTAGTGAGTTCACTTCTGAGACTTCCTCTTCCATGTCTGCCTACAGCTCAGGACAACCCAACCTCTTCCTCTCTGTCACCTCGGGAGTTTTCAAGAAGGGAAACAATCCCATCCCCAGCGTTTCCAAACTTCCCTGTCTCGACTTGAACCTAGTAAAGAAACCCATGTGGTTCTGAAATCATAGTTTGCTTCTCTCTTTCCTTTCCTTGAACCTTGAAGCTCTGTCAACACTGGTGCCCCAGAACCAGGGAAGGGATAGGCCAAGTTTCACCTCTAAGATGGGGTCACTGAGATGATGGCAGGTAGAAGAGTGTAATTTGTTTGTAGTTGCACAGGATATTTGGAGGTGCAAAGGATAGTGGGAATGATGACTGTCTGCTCTCACCCAGAGCCTAGACAGAAGATGTTGGCATATATGAGGAGAAAGCTGTGGGGACAGAAGGGTTGAAGATCCAATTCTGCTGAAGAGCTGGTTGCCAAGGTGGAAACTTGCTTGATTTCCCTACTGAGGTCTACAGCACCAGCTTGGAAGCTGATAATATGAGGCCAAGTTAAGTAACCAGGCTCAGTGACAGTACCATTTCCTCCATGACAGTTTCCCAAGCCAGAGGCCTCTCTATCTGTCTCTGTGGCTCCCTAACATCTGGTCAGTTCTTTCCCTCTTCTGACCTGCTGTGTGTTAGTGTTTGACTATTTTATCACTCTCCTGGCCAGCCAACTCCTTGCAGGCAGTGGCTAGGCTTTGCCTGTCTGTGTCTTCCACCCTGCCTGACCCTTTGCTTTGCACATTCGTATTTGGTAAATTGTGGTAGTGTCCTCTTTCTTAAAATCCAGTGGAGGTAGTTGGCTTTTTTGGTGATGGTTCGGGGACCAAGAGTTTGTTGGAGGACTCAAAGTGGGACCTTGGAACCGGCTAACTCAAATTTGAGGAAAGGAGAGGAGGAAAAGCTTTTTTTTTAATTTTTTTTATTTAAAAAAAATTTCTTTTTTACATTTATTTATTTTTGATAGAGAGACAGAGCACAAGTGGGGGAGGGGCAGAGAGAGAAGGAGACACAGAATCCGAATCAGGTGCCAGGCTCCAAGCTGTCAGCACAAAGCCAGACACGGGGCTTGAACTCACAAACTGTGAGATCATGACCTGAGCCAAAGTCGGATGCTTAACCGACTGAGCCACCCAGGCGCCCCTGGAAAAGCTTTTTTATATCTGGGCCCCTGCCTCTACTGACCCTTGGCTGCATCTCAGCACAAGGCTCAGATTCCTTCAGGCATTAAAGTGTTTTTGAGTTTGTTGTAGGAAATCTGCTTTACAGATTTTGTTAATCATCTTTGAAATAGGGATTTCTCCAGGCTCAACCACCAATCTTCCACCTCAGATCTGGGACAAACACATCCCCGATCTTTCACTTCTCCACAACAGGAAAATGTGCTCTGCCTGCACTGAGGGAAAGTGGGAGGTAGGGGGAGCTGAGGGTCTCAATCCCAGTGGCTGGCTTCTCTAAGACAGCGTCAGAGTGTGACTTATTTACAGAGGACCCCATCTCTCAGCTTTCCTTTGCACCCCCAGTCTTTGGAAACCATTTCTTTTCCTTCCTTTAATTGTGCACATTAAGTCCTGAGAATACCAAAATACAGGACTCCCCAGACCTACTCAGAGGACTGTCTGCTTCAGATCTCTCCTTGTCACACTCACTCTGTAGCATTAAAATTCCAGACCCTTGCCCTGGATTCCTGTGGTCTACTGTAGTCAAGGGCCACCTCCTTTGACCATTTTTAGAACCACCTCACCTGGGGTGACAGGGGCCAGATCACAATATTCTGTTCCATATCTTTCCTTTCTCTTGCTTTGGACTTGCCTTTCGATCCCACCTCCATGTGAATAGCCTATGAAATTATGGGATATTGATTTTCCATTTCTTCTCCTTTGTTTTCTTCTCATCCCTGCGGCGGCTTCCGTGCCGTACTTGCTCATGTCTCAGCCAAGAGAGTTGCAGAGGTTATACAGGGAGGTGGTGAATTACCCTGGTTCCTACTCCTTTGAGCTTCTTTAGTCTACCCGCCCACCCCTCCGCCCCCCAACTCTGGTAATCCCTGACTCTCTCCTGAAAGGAAATTGAAAGCGATTGAAAGAGAGCCCCAGGGAGTGAGAACTGTCATGGCCTGTTACAGTCTGTGCTGTCTGCTTTAAGCCACCACCTTCTGGTTGGATTCAACTGTTTCCCTAATAGTGTGATCCTGAATGGAGGAAGAAGTATTGGGAATGAAACTAGTGATGGAAAACATTTGGGTAGATAATAGTGTTCATATCTGTGCTTGGTTTTTAAAAGGAATCTTCAGCTATATCAGAATTTTGAATGGAGGCATCCTGTGCGGTTGGGATCTTGTTTGGTCTTTGAAGTAAGATCTCTTCATGATGCCCTCCCCAGTCTACTCCCTCCCCTGGCAATCCATTGTGGTTAGGAAGAGCCGAGCACATGGGGCTTACTTCTCTTCAGATTTACTGTCTAAGAAAATGTGCAAGTAAAACAGAATATGTGCCATTGCTAAACAGAGTCGTGTATTTTAAATTAAAATTAAAATTTGCATGGCAGGCCTAGTCCTACATATAAGACAAAATGTTGCTGTGATGAGTCTAAGGCCAGTACTCAAAAAACCCAAAGGTAGGTTGTTATGCACAGAAAGTCAGCTCAGCAACCAGGTTGGGAGAAAAGTGGTAGCAGAGTGGCAGGGTTGGGTCCAGTGTAGACCCAGGACTGGTGTCCCATCAGACATTGGTCCAAAGAAGGTGGGCCTTAAGGAAGCACTTTTAATATTTAAACAACATCACTAGACGGTTCCTGGAATGGCTTGTTGTAAGTGGGAACTGACACCAGCCCCAAGTAGGGCCCTTGTTTGAATCTAGACTGGAGGGAAAAATCAGTAGCAGGGGCCACAACTGGTACCACCCCTTTATGGCCTTTGCATAGAGCTGGACACGTGCTGTTCCCTGCCAGTCCCTTCTGCCCAGAGATCCCAGTAGAGTGAGACTGGAGCTCTGTTCCGGCACTGCAGAGGGTCAATGTCTGGACAAGGGAGTGACTGAACTGAGCACAGACAGCTGGTTTTAGGTGTTTAGCAGCATCCCCTGACTGCCCTCCCCCTACTTGAAAAATCGTAAGATGCAGAGAAAACTTAAGATTGTGGATTTCTTTGTAAGAAATTAAAATCTGACAACAGAATCTTTCAGACCACATGGTTTTTGCACATATGGGGATGCATATGCCTGGGATGTGTCTGCCTGCGGTGGACTGGGTTGGCTCCGACAGGTACATGTGATCGTTCTGTGATTGTGCTCTTGTTGTACCATGTGGGTGATTAATTAGTGACCAGGAGCATAGGTTGCTGAAGCATAGGAAGGTATGCTGAGCATAGGAAGATGAAGAGGAATGGTTAGTATAACAACATCTGTGTTACCAGGGAGAATAATTTCAGACATGTTTGGGGGTCTGTTAATCCCATTTTCCATCTTTATTTCATAAATTAGTCTCAAGGAAGGAAAAGAAGACAAACTCAAATGTTTACTCTGCCTCTCGAACTATTTGTAAGTCCCTCAGAGACAGCCTGGCTGTTCCCTTTCACCTACTGGTGGACAGAGGCTACTTTAAATAAGGTTATTGGGAGACACCAGAAAAATATGGTGTAATGACTCTGAGCTGAAAACAAACAAAAATAATATGGAAAACAACCTTGTGTGTAATGACTACTCTCAATTTATGAGGACTCGCACAGATAAGGCAGGTTTCATAGAGAATTTCCGGGACACTACTAACCCAAACCAAAAAGCTTCTAGGGTAAAGACTAGATTCTGTCAGCAGATACTCACTTTGCCAATATCAGTATCCAACCTTCTTTGAATTCCTATATACGTTTGTAGTAGCTTACCTTTAATTGTTATGCTGTTAGTGTTTATTGCAGAAATAAAGCCCTTGCTCCTGATCACAAATCACCCACATAGTATGACAGAAGCACTGTCATGGAGTTGCCAGTGGCACCTGTCAGAGCCAACACAGTCCAGCACAAGCGGACACATCCTGTCACCTACATTCTCACAAGAGCAAGAACTGTGCTCTTGTGAAATGCTTTCATTTTAACCAGTAAGAATTTCTTTACCAATAAAGTTATAAGCCAGAGACAGGAAATTCTATCTAATTTAGAGACAGATGCATTCTTCTTAAGGCAACAACACATAGCTAACTATTTCAATTTCAGGATGATATTATATATAAAAGGTGAATAATTTTATTTTTAAAGCAGTTTGTACAAATCTTTACATTCCACCAACTGAATAGGCTTCTTTATTGGCATAGTAGTTTAGAAAGTGCATTAAACCTTTACAGCTCCAAGGTCACGTGGCAGTAGGTTTGTTTCCTGATACCAAGCCTCGATTTTGAGCCTCAAGCCTTGGGGAACAGCTTACTCACATTGATGAGCCTTTTGAATTTAGGCCAAAAGAAACAAAAAACAAAAACCCACGGATCTGAGCTTTTAACAGTGCATAACTGACTACCTCGAGCCCAGGCACAAGTTTCTGGAAGACCCGTAGCTATTGGGGTTGTAACTTTTCTTCTCTCTTCCTCCTCACTCAAGGCATAATTCAATCCGGAGACAGCTCAACTTGTCAAACCCAGACTTCAATATCCAGCAGCTTCAAAAACAGGAACAGTTGACTGGAATTGGCCGAATTAAACCGGAGTTATATAAGCAGAGGTCACTGGATACTGATGATGGGACAAGGAGTAACAGCAAAGCCTGTGGGAAACTGAATTTCATTTTGAAATATGACTGTGACTTAGAGCAGCTCATAGTGAAGATTCACAAAGCTGTCAATTTGCCCGCCAAGGACTTCTCTGGGACTTCAGATCCTTATGTCAAGATCTATTTGCTTCCTGATCGGAAAACAAAACACCAGACTAAAGTGCACAGAAAGACCCTAAACCCTGTGTTTGATGAAGTGTTTTTGTTTCCGGTTCCCTACAATGACCTTGCAGCACGGAAGCTTCACTTCTCTGTGTATGACTTTGACAGGTTCTCTCGCCATGACTTGATCGGCCAAGTGGTGGTGGATCACTTCTTAGACTTGGCTGATTTCCCCAGGGAGTGCATCCTTTGGAAGGATATCGAGTATGTCACCAATGTAAGTCCAGCATTTCTCCATTTGGGGGGAGGCTTCTTGGTCCGCATGCATTCAGATTACTTACACCTTATTTTATTTTGGGGGCAAAGTATAAAATTCACTTCCATGTCTGGATAGCTGTTGTTTCAGAACCTTCCTTGTAACTTCCCAGAAGCGGACCTTTAATAGTATTCATTTTAAAAGTTCCCGGAATTGCTCATGAAAACAGTATTAAAGAGCAACGTTCTCTCTTTTCTACTTTCTAATTCTTAGCTATTCCCTAACTGGCAGTAGATATTATCTGCCCTCCTTGCCACATTTTCTGTAGAGCTTTCTTAGATTATTTGTGCTAAATGGATCCTGGCATCCTATTCGCTGTAATCTGCAGCTACGAGACCATTGCCAGGCTCTCTGAGAGCATTATGTCCTTGCCCGTGTGCCCAGGTCAGCTCAGTTGCATTTCCCATGATCAGATCTTCAACTTGAATCCCAGAAGTGAGAATGGTTGACAAGAGTTTGTACCACATTTGTAAATACAGAATCAAAGTGACAGGGAGTTCAGTCTGAAAAGATCTGCAGATATCGGCAAAGCTAATCAATGGAAGGTCAAATCCAATTTAGAGCTCAGGAGAGAGGTCTGAAGGGCTACGGCAATGACACCACAAACCCATGTTTACATTTTAAATGAGATTGCAGTGGTGATATTATTACTCCATTTACATCCTTATCACTCTCCTGCAGACATGTATTGACACTGCTGAAATAGAAGGAAAACTGGACTTTCTTGGGTAATGCTGATATTTTAGAGCCACTTGCTTCTTACATCGGTTCAGATTCCTTCAGGCAACTTTGCTCGCACATCTTCTAGAATGCGAGCCCTTCTGAGGCCAGCATAGTTTTCTTTCTCTGCCTTGGCATCCAAAGAAACCAAGCTCCATAATCTTTCCTCAGCTCAGATGATGATCCAGCTTGAATTTGGAGCCCAGTAAGTGAAAGGCTCTCATCCTGCTCTGGAAGAGAACACGCAAAAATCTCTGTGTGGTGACCAAATACCCACACTAGTCTTTTCACTCTTGTCTGCCTTTGTGAACTGGGGACTCACCCACACTTTGGCTGTTCCAAGAGACATCTTCTCTTCTCATGGCACTAGATACTGGTGCCAGCTTTGTCCTGATACTCACATAAGCAAAGTGTAGCACTCAGTTTTGCTGGCCCTTATCACAAGAATGAAGAAAGGAAAGAAAGAGCTGGAGAAAGCAGAGCGAAGAGTCTGTTTCTGAAGTCTTTTTTCTTTGTTTTGTTCTTTTTCACTAAATCTACCTATAGCACAATTTGCAAATTACTATCATTCTATGATAAGATTTACTATCAGAAAGAACAATCATCCAGCCTGATTTTTCTTCAATTCAGTTGGCTGGTACTTGACTTTTCACATAAATTTTGGCATCAAATTGTCAAATTAATAATTCTTTCTGGTATTTGGACTTGTATGAAGTCTGTAGATTAATTTAGGGAAATTGTGCATCTTTATGATATTGAGTCTATTCATTACCATAGTGTATTTTGTTTCATTTATTTATTTCTGTAAAATTCTAGGGGCGCCTGGGTGGCTCAATCAGTTAAGCATCTGACTCTTGTTTTCAGCTCAGGTCATGATCTCACGGTTTGTGAGTTTGAGCCCCATATCAGGCTCTGTGCTGACATTGCACAGCCTGTTTGGGATTCTTTCTCTCTCCCTCTCTATCTGCCCCTCCCCTGCTTGTGGGTGCGCTCTTTCTAAATAAATAAATAAACTTGAAATAAATAAATTAATTAAATTAAATTCTTTCATTCGAGGCTTATAATTTTCTTCATGAGGATCTTGCATGTCTCTTGTTAGATTTATTGGTAGGTGCCATGTTTTTCATTATTTTAGGTACAGTTGACCCTTGAACAACATAGGTTCGATCTGCTCAGGTTTACTAATACATGGATTTTTTTTCAGTAAGTGCAATACAGTGCTATAAATGTATTTCCTTTCCTTATGATTTTCTTAATAACATTTTCTTTTATCTGGCTTACTTTATTGTAAGCATACAATGTATAAAACATAACATACAGAATATGTGTTCATTGACTATGTTATCAATAAGGTTTCCAGTCAACAGTAGTCTATTAATAGGTAAGTTTTTGGGGGTCAGCACTCTAATCTTCACATTGTTCAAAGGTCAACCATAGTATTTTTTCTAAAATTGCATTTTCTAACTTTTGTTGTTATATAAATGCAGTTTAAATTTATCTTCAATTTGGCAATCTTGTAAAATTCTTATTAATGCTTATAATTTGATTGTAGAATCTTCTGAATTTTCCTTATAGAAAATGAGACATGTGACTTGATAGTTTTGTGGGGTTTTTTTCTAATCTGGATGCTTTTATTTATTTTTTAATTCAGTTTACAAACTAGGATTAACAGTATAATGCCAAATAATAATTATGGTAGTAGTCATCCTTGACTTATTCCTACTTTTAAGTGAAATGTTTTTAACATTTTCATAGAATATAATTTTGCTGTAGATGTTTTGTGGATGTCTTTACCATATTAAGAATGTATCCCTTGGGGCGCCTGGGTGGCTCAGTTGGTTAAGCATCTGACTTCCGCTCAGGTCATGATCTCGCAGTTTGTGGGTTTGAGCCCTGCGTTAGGCTCTGTGCTGACAGCTCAGAGCCTGGAGCCTGCTTCGGATTCTGTGTCTCCCTCTCTCTCTGCCCCTCCCCCACTCGTACTCTGTCTCTCTCTCTCTCTCTCTCTCTCTCTCTCTCTCTCTCTCTTTAAAAAATAAATAAACATTAAAGAAAATTTTTTTAAAAAAAGAATGTATCCCTCAAAAGAAGAAGAAGAAGAAGAAGAAGAAGAATGTATCCTTCCATTCCTTCATGACTAAGACTTTTTATTATAAACATTTGTTTTGTCAAATGCTGTGATCCTGTGAGGTTTTTCTCTGCTATAATTTGCTATTTTACTCAATTACATTGATCAGGTTTTTAATTTTGAACCAATCTTATATTCCTGGTATGATCCACACTAGATTTGATATATTACCTATGTTGCATATTAAGTTCACTTTGCTAGTATTTTGTTTAGCATTTTTTTAAATCTGTGCTAATGAGTGACATATGTAATTTACTTTCTCATATGGTTCTTATCTGGGTTGGAACCAAGGTAATTCTTGTTTTATAAAATTAGTTGGGGGATTATTTTGGCTACTTTCCTTTTGTTTTTCCTTGGTGCTCCTGGAGGCTTTGGGGTTTGTTTATTTTTCTTTGAACTGAAAATAACTCTTTTAGTCTCTGGCTAGTAGTGAGGTTTAGGTAGTGAGGAAGAGAAGGGAGCAAGGTTGGTATATTTATTCCCCTACATAGCCTCCTTAGGGTATCTGTAGGCTGGCAATAACCTTCAACTGAAAGCCACAGTTCCACATATGTCTTTGTTTTGCTATTGTTTTTAGAATGTTTTTCTGGGTATAAAAATAGGGTTTTTGGCATTGCCAAAAATGATTTTGGCATTACAAAGCTATCATTCCATAGTCATCTGACCTCCATTTGCCTTTGAGAAGTTGACGTTTAGTATAATGTTTATTCCTTTGTATGCATTTTTTTTCCTTTGCTTTCAATATCTTGCTTTCCTCTTTAGTGTTCCATAGTTTAATTGCTAACGTTGCTAAGTGGCTATTTTTATTTATTCAGACTGATTTATAGGGTTCCTGAATATGAGATTGTTTCTTTTATCAGTTCTAGAAAATTCTCACCCATTTACCTCTTTTCATTTGTAAAAGTTTCATTTGCGGTGTTTCCACACTTGCCTAGTATCTTTAATAGTCTCCTTTTTTGTTTCAACATACTTTCAGTTCCCTTTTTAATTTCTTTTCCCATTATGTACAAGTTACTTTTATATTCTGTTCCTAACTGCACCAGCTATAATCTTTGTAGCTCTGATTTTTTTGTTTGGTATTTCCATTGACTAACTCATCATGCCTTGTTGCCTCCTATATTTAATGATTTGTGATTGTGAGTTCATACGGCTTGAAACTTTGTCAGTAGAAAATTTCATGTTCTGGGCTTCATGTTCTGCACTCTGAAAGTGCATTCCTTCAGGGATGATTTGTGAGGTAACCAACAGGGAACCATTCTAAACCGAATTTTGAGCTTGAGGGTTTGGGGGCAACAGAGAAGTAGGGTGAATATAGGCTCCAAATGTATAAGTGCAGGCTTGTATTAATGGTTAGAAATCGGCAGGGGAGACTTTTTTTCCTTGCTTTCCCTAGAGCAAGTCGAGGACAGGATATATCTTTAGCTTCTACTTATGCAGGGCAGAAGTTCTTTTTTGTTTATCCTTTAAGGATGTGACCCTTAATCTTTAGGATTCCAGCTTCATGCAGGGTTCTCCCACAGTCGTCTAAAAACCACACACTAAACCACTAGAGATTCACATTTACCTTCATTCAAGCTCCAGTTCCAGGGCTTACTTACCTCCGTGGATTCATACTTACTTACTGTTTCTGGCCACTGAAAAATTGCATTTTTGTCCCATGAGCTCTGCCATGCATTGAAAATGATTTTGTAGGGGCATCTGGGTGACTCAGTCAGTTAAGTGTCTTGGCTTCGGCCCAGGTCATGATTTCATGGTTCATGGGTTGAAGCCCTGCATCAGGCTCTCTGCTGACAGCTCAGAGCCTGGAGCGTGCTTTGGATTCTGTGTCTTCCTCTCTCTCTCTGCCTCTCTCCTGCTCATGATCTTTCTGTCTCTCAAAAATAAATAAATGTTAAAAAAAAAAAAGAGAAAAGGATTTTGTAATCCAGTATTTTTACCTGGAGGAGTTTCTGTGAGCATCTACCCTGTTGTTGGAAATATCGTGTGCTACAGTATATTGTTTAAAGATTGTTCAAAAAAGCAGTTGTTACCTGTACTAACTGGATAGTAATCTGTGTATTGGATGTTTGCCTTGTGATTGAATAGCCAGAAAGAACCTTAGAGGTTCTGTAAT